TTAGTAATTCATATTCTATGTGAATAAAATGATGCAAAAATTATCACAAACTTCCTTTCTTATTTCAATTAGAATAACCACCTTGAGTTTCATCAATTTAGTCCCAACAGGCACAATATATTTCTTACCAACAGAGTAGTATTCCGCTGAGTATACATACCACAACTTTTGTATTTAGTCATCTGTCAATAGCTTATTTAGCTTCATTTCATGTTTTGGCTAATATGATTCTATGGATAATGAATAATGGTTCTATGAATGGAACTATTATTGAAAATTTCTTTTTGATTAGTATTTCTATGGGCTTTGAATTAATGTCTAGAAGTAATGTTGCTGGATTATATGGTATCTTCACTTTTATTTTATAATGTTTCTCCATACCATTTGATATGAATTTAGTCATAATTTAGAACTTGAATTTTATTCATTGATCCTTTCATTTCTCTCAAAGGAAATTCATAGGAACATACTTCCTATTTTTACATGCCTCAGTTTCCTTCCAATGATGTCATTACCTTAAAGATATGTTTTTAATCTCTCTTTGGGAAACTATATGCCTAGGTAATAGTCCTGGGCAAATGCTTGATAAAGGTAGCAATACTAGCTCCCTTTGGTTTATTGTGGGTTTCTGATTTCCATCACAGGGAATTACCAACACCAAGAAATATTCCTTTTTCCAGAGTCTAATCTGCTACACATAGGAGAGAGGGTATGGAAGGACTAAGTATAGGGGTATTTTTGATGGATGCATGGCTCTGAAACTTTGGTGATTGGTACAGTGAGTCATATGTCTAAAGTCATATGTCTAAAACCATACCCTTGAAATTTTGTAGTATTGTTAACCAATGATAAATCACTTTTTAAATGGTTGTTCTTGAGTCAATGGTGATATTTCATTACTTTTCAGCACTTTTTCTTCCCTCAAGGGCATATCTAACCACCCCCCATACACAGTAAGGATGTGGTACCTCAAATGTGTGCCACATCCTTAATGTGTATCTTCAAGGGCCAGCATCTTTGTTTTCTTCTGTAACATCCATCTACTCATTATATAGATTCCAATCTTTTAATGTTTTTAAATGTAAGAGCACTGCTGTTTATTCAGCCATTATTAAGCTATTTGCAGATTCCGATATTTTACATTATGAGTCTAACTCCTAGGAAAAAATTTGTACCAATAATGAAAAAATTCATTATGTTAATTTGTACAGTGAACAGTGTATGCAATATTAGTTTGTATGGTGTTCAGCACCATTATTTAATATTTGTATATAGTGTAGAAGGAGCACTACAAAAAGTCTAATTCATCACTGTCATCACACAGAAAATCTTTTATAACTTGTGATATGTACCTTCAAGATTCACTCTTCTAGAAACTTTCAGTAAAAGGGTGCAGTATTATTGACTGGAATCATGAGGCACTTCTGTTGTTTATGATTTTGAATCTCGTCTCCTTCACAATGCTTAGCTGAGCTTGGGATGAAACACATTTTTTGTTTTTGTTTTTTGGGTCACACCTGGCGATGCTCAGGGGTTACTCCTGGCTCATGTACTCAGGAATTACTCCTGGCTGTGCTCGGGGGACCGTATGGGATGCTGGGAATCGAACCTGGGTCGGCCATGTTGGCTGCATGCAAGGCAAATGCCCTACCCGCTGTGCTATCGCTCCAGCCCCCTGAAACACATTTTATACAAGGGGTTTGGTTTACCTTTTGGGAGAACAGAGTATGTTTTTATGAATTTCGTATCTACTGTGTATTTTTAGTCCAATAGAATTTCTTTGCTTTTTCTTTTCCTTTTCACTTTTTCCTTTCTTTACCATTGTATCAAGTCCCCTCCTTATACCATCTTCTCTCCCCTATGATGCTGTTGTTGTGATGATCACAGGCATGGCTGTGGTTCTGACCAGTAGTTGCACTTCAGTCATGCTTCTTGCCCACCCATATTGTGCCACACTCTGCTGTGGCACTGGCAGTGCAGACACACAGCTGCCAGGACCATGCTTGGCACTTGAGAGAAGCACCTGGATGGAGCCTGTGACATCACACTTGTAAGGTATGTGCTCTTTGCATTCAAGCCATGACCAGGGTTCCTGGATCAAGTTTGAAACCTCTTTAACATTAAAGTCATGATCTTCTACTTTTCAATCCCATTGCAATAATCTATTTTCTTGAAAGAGCTCATACTCAAATGTTCGAGAGGAGATAATGCCTTATTTTGCAAGTCTCTGTTTTTAAACATGTAAGTAAAGTAGCTAATATTTAATATACCCATAGCTGATACTTGTTTCTGACTACACAACAAACTTACTTTTTAATTCCCTCTGATTTCCATTCATGCAATAGAATTCTATCCCACAAATTTTGGTTGGCATTGCCATCGCAACATATGTCATCCTACACTGCTTTATTTTCTTTATTGTCTCTTGAAAGAGAAAAGAGTATCACTTCGAAGGCAGGGAAACCTCTATAGTATTAGACAATTTACTGGACCCCATAGGCCTCTGGTTTATTGTCAGTCAAATGTGGATGTCAGTTCCTACTGCATAGTATTGTCATGAAAATTAAATAAGAAAAACTGATTGACTTATCCACATAATAAGGATAAATAAATGCTAGTTCCAATTATTCTTGTAATTAATTTAGATTGTAAACATGTTGTAATTAGAAAATATATCCAAAATTAATTAATCTATTACTTAATAAAATTCTATTATTCATTTATATAATAGTTGGACTTAATACAACTCAAAAAAATAAAACATACTGACATTAAGATGACTAGACTCGATCTGGTTTCTTTATATTATATTTGTTTATAATATTAACCACAAGCTAACGGCCGAGCTTGCAATGCAGTGCAGAGAAGCGATCAAGGAAGACCTCAAAGAGAGAAGAGCAACAGTGCTGGCCGATGCAGTAGAAGCTGGGAAAAGCATTCAAAACGCCCGCCTGTCCTTCGCCAACTACAAGACCAAGATAACTGCCATCCAACATCCTGATGGATCTATCACATCTTCCAGAAGGGCAATAGAGAAGATTTTCCATGACTTCTGCTCAGATCTCTTCGATAGCCATGTCCACCTGTCCACATATCAAATTCCGCAGGATGGATATGTTGCTTACAACATTCTCCCTTCCTAAATCCGACATGCCATTTCATCAGTAAAGAAGTGAACAACACCCGGCCCAAACAAGGTCAGACCCGAACATCTGAAGAACCTGTCGTCAGTACTCATCAGTACACTGGTTTAGCTCTTCACATGCTACCTATCTGAATGCAAGGTTCCATCCCAGTGGAAAACCAGCAGGACTGTTCTACTGTACAAGAAGGGAGACATCCATGACATTGGCAACTATTGCATGATCTGCCTGTTGTCCTTTGTCTACAAGCTGTTTACTTGAGTCATCCTGAATAGGACTAGCAGAACACTTGATGGACAACCATGTGAGTAAGCTGGGTTCTGGAAAGGATTCAGCACAATCGACCATATCCACACAGTAACCAAGCTTATTGAGGTTTCTCGGGAGTTCAAGATATCACCCTGTCTAATGTTCATTGATTTAAAGAAGGCCTTTGATTCTGTTGAGACTGAAGCTCTACCCAAACAGGACATTCAAACTCAACACATCAGGATCCTCTGTGAGCTGTATTATAGATTCACTACCAGGATCTCACCATTCTACAAGAAGTGATCATCAATGTCAAGAGAGGGGTTCGACAAGGGTGATACCATTTAACTGAAACTATTCAGTGCCACTCTCGAGAACATAATGTGACGACTGGGATGTGAAGGAATGGGAGTGAAGATAGACGGTCTGCAACTACACCACCTCCATTTCGCTTATGACATCGTTCTAATAACATCAAACCAAGTGGCACGAATGCTGGCTGACTTTGACTGCGAGTGTAGAAAAGTAGGCCTGCAGCTGAATCTCATGAAGACAATGTTCATGAGAAACGGACTTGTTCCTGATGTTCCATTCACTCTTAATGGAACATACATCTCGAAAGCAGCAGTTATGTGTACCTAGGTTGAGAACTCAACATGACAAATGACCTGGCACCTGAGTTGCACAGGAAGAAGAGAGTGGCATGAAATGCCTTCAAGAGCGTCAAAGAAATAACTAAGAGGACAAAGAACCTCTGACTCCAGGCACATCTCTTTGACTCCACAGTTCTTCCTGCATTAACACACGCCTCAGAGGTCTGGGCCCTAAGAAAACAGGATGAGAATGTTATCCGGGTTTCCCAAAGAGGAATCAAAAGAGCTATACTTGGAATATCACATTTCACTCAAATGACAGAAGGAATCCGGAGTTCTGACCTCCATTGAAGATCAAGAATGAGGGATGCTGTCTCGTTTGCCAAGGTGTCAAAAATCAGATGGGCTGGACACGTAATGGAGATGACCGCTGGACTAGAGTTGTTACCAATTGGATTCCATGGGACATCAAAAGGTAGCGTGACCCCCCACCTATGAGATGGTCAGACTTCTTTGTCAAGACCCTGAACAAACAGTTTGAAGCTCTTCATGTTCCTGGAGCAAGCGGATGCCATTGGGCTACACTAGCGCTCGACAGGGATGAATGGAGATATTACTGGCACACGCTCGAGCAAATCCATGAGTAACGGGATGTCAAGTGATCAAGTGAAGTGATACTTGTTTATTCCCTCTTCCTCAAACTGATAGACTCCAACCACCTTTTCCCATTCCCCTCCCCCACCAAACTGACTTAAAAAATGTTACTCATTATTCTTTGGTCTTGTCTTAATGGGTAGGTAGGTTCATATTCAAATCGTACTGAGATTTTTGTTTGTTTTTTGGTCACACTGGCGATGCTCAGGGGTTACTCCTGGCTCTGTGCTCAGGAATTACTCCTGAGGGACCTTATGGGATGCCTAGGAAGAAACCTGGGTCAGCAGCATGTAAGGCAAATGCCCTACCCATTGTACTATCTCTCCTGCACCAATGTAGATTTTTAATTATCAGCTTTGTCAGGCTCTGTGATGTGTGCTCAAAACATACTTTTTAATTCAATAGTGAATGAATACAACATTTCTCTCTATTCAAAGGCTCAGGAATTCAGTGAATGGATCAAAGTTATACAATATGCAAGTAGGAGCAGCAATAAGAATGGACACATTACCATAAGAATGGATACATTACCATAAACCAGTGAAAAAGAACTTTAAGAAGAATATGATGAAATAGTATGGCGCATAGAGAAATAGATCAGTGAGAGAGAGGCTGAGCGAGTGAGTGAGAGAGAAAGACTAGAAAAAAACTGTAAGAAAGAGAGAAAAAGTTTTTTTTCATAGAAAGATGGAATAAGACATGAAGACTGTCTTTATGTAGAAAATAAGACTTAACCTATACAATGACCAATTAATCAATGAGTAATTGAAAACTGACTAATTTGGGACACAGTTTTTCTTTCATTATCATTTTAGTTATATGTAATAGTTTTTATTTATGATGTGTAAATATGAAGTAGAGAGATCACTAATTGGGTAACAAATTTGTAGATACAGGAGAAAAATATTTTTTTCATAATATGTGGACTATAAGAACATTCAAAGATTTTATATATATTAAGAATAAATCTATTAAAAGAAGGCTATTCATCAATGTTCAAAAGGATGCTACATATATACTTTCACCAAGTTTAGCTACAGTTGTCATAACGTAAAACTAATCCTTGATATGCTTTGTAAATATGCTGATTCTGTGTACAAATGAACCCTCCACTTCTGAAAGCTTGGTATGGACTCCTATTTAAGTCTCCAATACATGTCCATTGATTTTTGGCCCCCCTTTTGGAAACACACCATTTAGCATGATCCTGATAAGAACTGAAATAAGATTGTCCAGATATCTTGATTGCTTTGGCATTGTAGACGTGGTAAGGAAGAGAGCAGTTGGAAGGAAGCTCTTGTCTCTTTCGTTGCCAGGTTTCTGTTAGCAAATGTGTCTTCAATTGTTGAGCCATCCAAGCTGCAAAGATGTCTAGATTTGTGAGGATGAAAAGACTGAGGTTAGAATTTATACTTTGAGACAGTATAAATAAGTGCGTGAAAATATCCACAGGAATAAAAATCATAATTCACCCCTCATATTTGGATGTCACAAACACATTAATCACAACATAATTGAGATAGTGGATGGAAGAACATTTTGTAAATGCTAAAGTGATATGAAAATAAAGTTATTATTGTCATTACTCTGATGATACTGGTGTCTGAAATATTTTCTGCCACACACAAACAAAGGAAGAAAAAAACCTGAAAGTTCTTGAAGGGTATAAAGGCAATGAAAATAATCAGGGACCAGTTTCTGGGGCTCTTTGTTAGCCAGATGATTGGATTTTCTTATAATAAATGGTGAATTTTTAAAAGAACATTAATGGGTAAATGAGATTAATTTATAATAAAAAATAATTGAGAGGCTATGTGCAAGATAAATTGGGAAGAATGCATTAGAATAGAGCTATGAAAAATATCATATGGTGACAAAAAATAAAACAGTGACATTAAACACAGGAGTGGGCTATAATAGTGGCAGAAAATTTGGGGAGGAAAAAATAAATATGAGAGTTAGTAGGGACTTGTAACTAACTGAATTTGATGACTTGATGGAGTGGTGGTGGTGTGGAAAATAAATTTTGAATCCTAGGGTGAGTCTGCAGTCTAGGAGAAATAGCTTTTGGGGGGTAAAATCATGAAATGAATTTGGTGTGGCTGTATAATCACCAAGTAGAAATGTCAATTTCACTATCGATTCTATTTGTCAGTACAGAGGTTTGGGATGCAGACTTAGGCTTAGGATTCACCTGAGGGTTTGCTGGAATCATGTAGTATGAATAGTAGAGTAAAATTAGAAGACCATATTACAACCCAAACCACCTTAAGAAGAGGCAGAGAAGAAGGACTTGACAAAAGAGACTTAAAATAAGTGAAGACCAAACGACTTCATATTTTTCAAAATCAGTGAATGAAGGGTTGTTTCAGAAAGGAAAGGATTTTAAAAGCATTTTAAAAGCACCAGTTTTGCAGAGGCTATTTCCGTCCTGTAAATTTTGGACTCTCTGGTACCTGACACAGGTCTTAGCAAGTAGCAAGCATTCAGGAAATTTTATTCAATGTATAAGGATGAAAGCAATAAAAAACAAAGAAACAAGATTAACAAAATTAGTCATTTGTTTGACTGCAGAGAGATGGGAGTGTCTACAGAGTAATAAGACTGGTGTGAAGTCATTGAAGGGACTTTTAAAAATGAAATTTGGGGCCAGACAGATAGTACAGCAGGTAAAGCAGTTACCTGCTTGCCGCTTACGCAGGTTCAATCCCTGGCACTGAATATGATGCCCCAATTCCTGCCAGGAGGGATCCCTGTGGACAGAGCTGAGTAAGCTCTGAGCACTGCTGTATAAGGCTCCCAAGGGGAAAAAAATGGAAAAAAAAAGATATTTGGAAGAAAAATAAAAACATGAATAGCAATTTTAAGACTAAGGAATACATTTTAGGCTGGGTTGTGTGTTAATAAGAAAGTGGAAATAGAAGACAGAAAAGGTCTTGAATATAAACCAGGTAGTGGCTGGAGCGATAGCACAGCGGGTAGGGCATTTTCCTTCCATGCAGCCAACATGGCCGACCTGAGTTCGATTCCTCCGCCCCTCTCGGAGGGGAGCCCGGCAAGCTACCCGTGTCGTATTCAATATGTCAAACACAGTAACAAGTCTCATAATGTTACTGGGCCTGCTTGAGCAAATCGATGAACAACAGGAGGATAGTGACAGTGACAGATGAATTAAGGTGTTCAGATCTAGAACACAGGGATGCAAAGGTTTTTGTGGGAAGAAAATGTAAAAAGAATGAGAGAAATGAGATTGTTGGTGAGGGATACTCTATTGAAGTGGTTTCTACTGAGTGACCTCTGTTCTCTCCACGAAGGAAAATGTGAAGCTAAGAATGAGGAGGCAGAGTGATGCAAAGGATGTAAGAGTAAGGCAGGCTAAAAAAAGCCCTAGCTGCTGAGAGAAATAGAAAAGGGTGTCAGCTGTGGTCCTATACTCTCAACAGAGGCTGAAATCTGAGTTTTTCCTAATTCTTGGCTGAAAGGATATGAAGCAATTTTGGGGTTGCATCAACAACCCCACTGTCTGAATTTAGTAGATACTGAGGTAGCTTTTTGAATTTAATCTTTGACTTCCCTTCTCCCTTTCTTTCTCTTTTCCTTCTTTATTTCTGGTTATCTTTCTTGATTAATGAAAATATTTCCCCTAAGTAATCCACAGTCAGTCCAAGAGCAGAGTCAGAAAAGCATATTATTTGACAACATGTTTTTGTACCATCGAAATAAGAAGCAGGCTTTGCAAAATGGAGAAATTTTTGTCCCTGGGCTGATCGAAGTGTGGTGAGGTGCCTGGCAGGGATCTTCTGTGATCTGGTCCCTGCACATAGCTGGGGCATGTAAACAAGCTCCTGGTGAAAAGTGGCTGGGATGAAACAGCTGTATACATTTGGGTTGTAGATCAAGAGCTGAGAATCTGAATCAAGAAATAATTTTTTAAAAGTTTAGAATTTAATACAAATGAAAATGCTTATTGCTGCTATAAGTACGGTAAATTAAAAAACAATGTCTCTCCCCCCCCCACACCCATCACCAAAAAAAAAAAATACCCAAACATGCAGTATTCTCTTTAAGTCTGGTTTAAAGTAGTTTAAAGTAGTTAACATCTACTAAGCATTTCCTACTTTCTAGGACTATTATATGAGATCTTATTATGAGATGAGTTCTTTTACCATTGTCCTAATTTTATAAAGAACTTATATAACATGTACAAGTTTATAAAGCTTGTAGCGTTTGGATTTGGCATTCAAACCTAGGCAATCTAGCTTGGAAGTCATATATTCCCACTCCTATATATACATGCTCAAACAGGGAACTCCATTGTGTCAATCATCCAGTTCCAAGAACAATGATAAACTCATAAGCTTGTACTTCTAATCTCCATGGTATTTAACAATCTAATCATTACACGAGCTCATTCTGTTAGACCCAGGACTCGGCCTGGGTGAGAATCTTGGTAATCTGTGAGAACCAATGAAAATTTGATAGAAAACATTTTTCAAATTTTCTATACTTAGAATAAAACACTTCATTTCCATTTATGGATTTTCTTAGCAAGGAATGACTGGTAAAACAAAGTAGTTCATTCCCTCTTTCCCTTAATATACTTCTCCAGATCCAAGTAATTTTGTGGGACCTTAAAGGAAGAACATCTGACTCATGTTGTCAGGTTGCTGGTGGCCTATGGGGAGCCTGCAGGTTGAATAATTTTTAAAAAGATTGAAACCTTTATTTAGTAATAAGAATCTTTCCTTCTCTGGTTTGATCTGATTCTCTTTTTCCTGCTCTCTGTCTCTCTGTCTCTCTCACTCACACATATACAAACACATCAATATTCACACTCCCCCTCTTACACACACACACACACACACACACACACACGCACACGCACACCCTAGATTCCTAGATTTCTGGTTCCATTTGGACAACATGGAGATTTATAAACATTAGATCATTAGATCTGAATTCCTGCAGATCCACAGTATGATGGAGCAAGCTAGGGAAAAGTCAGCAACTCACTGTGTCACAGTGTCACTGTCGTTACGTGTCTGCCTGTTTATTTTAGCTATTTTGGGTACCTGCCTGCTCCCTATAGGTATTTGAAATTCGATATGCCAAACACAGTAACAACAAGTCTCACGATGGAGACGTTACTGGGCCCGCTCGAGCAAATCGATGAACAATGGGAGGACCGTGACCGTGACCCTGATCAAATTAGAAGACATCATTGGAGAACGCAGGAAGTCAAGGTCCAGTAAGCAATGCTCTCAGGGTCTTACCATAGAAAAGCCAATACCTGAATCTAGCTATCAAATATTCTGTGAGTAGAAGACTAAAGGAAGTGACCCATACAATAATACCTTTCCATGTCCCTGCTCCAACACTTGTCCTGTTTTTGTTTGATCACTTGTTTTGCTTATACATTCTACTGTTACCTATTGCTTTATACTGGCTGTACTTGAAAGTTACGCAAATGCCAGTTTGTCCATTTCGTCTCCCGGTGAGTGGATAATCATAGCCTTCTGCAGGAATGGGAGGAAACCTGGGAATAGAATGGATCAACCAGAATCCTTGGACTTTGTTCCACAGCAGTAAGCCTGCAGATAAAGTTAATGCAGATAATTAGAAAAACAAAGCTTCTTTGAGAAAGACGCAGATGTAAAATTCTAGCTCACTGGCATTTCAAGCTAATGTTTTACAAGGCTAATAATCACAGGACTCATGTTCATTTCTCAAATATTTCAAAACCAATGCAGGCACACATCCGTTGCCCCATTACTGATAGCAAGCCGCTGCAAAAGAGCAGTCACCCAGGGAAGAGTTAAGAGGAATCTCATGTTGAAACTTGAAGGAAAATTTGTTTTGGCAGAATGCAAATTTGCTAAATTGAAATTTGACCTTGGTAAACTATAGAGTCACCTGGCAGGCTTCAGATAATGTCTTCACTGCTAAGCAGCTAAGTTATTTTCACAAGCCAGCTGAAGAACAGAGTTGAAAGAGAAAATATCAGACCAAGACATGTGCTGGCAGTAAATTGTAAGAAACTGACGCTCACTTATTTGCAGAAGAGTCATCCAATTCCAGAAGTTTAAAAAAATAAATACAGAGTGATCTTAAGAGAGAGAAAAAGGTAACTCTGCCAAAGTATGACAGTTAATTGTGTTTAGGAAAAACCTCTATTGTGAAATAATATCAAAAGAAGAAACTAGATAGATTCTCATCCTCTTACAGTTTGGCAAAATGAAGCCCATCTAACAAGTGCTTATCATTATTTCTGCTACAAATATACCAGTGTAGTTTGGTTATACTAGATTTTTCCAGTTTGCATTTGAACGTGTAGCATAATTATTAGTAGAACCAAATGTCTGCCAATTATTTCTTTCAAAAGCACATCTTAAGTAAGCATAAAACACAATTTTTTTTCCTGGGTGGAAACAGAACCACTATCTGTACATGGGTTGAAAACGTTCAGCATTCTCTAGTGTTTTCACCTAACTCAGCTAGAACTTTAGTTCTTTTTAGCCTGGTGAAGGGGCTTCTTTGTTGAAATTTTAACCTGATATGAACACTATGGGATGTCCAAGCACACACTGATAAAGAAAAGCTAGACATGGGTCTTCACTTTCTTTTGCGACCCCCTGTAGCAACGAAGATGATGAAGAAAGTTGTGATACAGAGTTGTTGGAGAATAAGATGGAGAATATTGTGTATAGAAGAATTGGGCTTTGTGTATATTGGACTCTTACAAGGGCAACTGGGTTAAATCAAAAGCTTTCAGTGCTCATGACATTTGACAGTCATTACAACTTGCCTTCTTAATCAGTGGCTATAAACTGGCAGCCCTAAGCCGAGACTCCTGTGCAGATATTTATTGTTTCGTTTGCAGAGTACTCTTAAAAACTTGGAATTCACTGCCAATATTTACAAACTAGGGAGTTTTTTTTCACAAATGCTATTTTTCAACATCTGAAAACTGTGTGCACGTAAGGAAAGTTGAGTAGTAATTGCCTCCTTAAACCAGGTACATACTTGACAATTCTCCTGGTACCTACAGGACTCACTTGCCTGCTCCAAAGGTTTTTCCATATGGAAACCTTGAAAAAATGTTTTGCTGTAATGTATTATCTGATATGATATATTTAGAAAATGGTTTCTAAATGGTCATTACAATAGTTTTATAAAATTTTCAAAAGATATTATAAAAAAGTAGAAAAGATAAGTATGGTTATGTAATGGGGATTAGGGTTACATATTTTTGATTCTGGCATTTAAAATTTTTTTATAACATATATTTGCTAATAGCTTATAACAGGAAATTTCACTGCACTGCACTGTACTGTCCTCCCATTGTTCATTGATTTGCTCGAGTGGGCCCAGTAATGTCTCCATTGTGAGACTCGTTACTGTGTTTGGCATATCGAATATGTCACATGAAGTTTGCCAGGCTTTGCCGTGCGGGCGAGATACTCTCGGTAGCTTGCCAGGGCCTCTGAGAGGGGCGGAGGAATCAAACTCAGGTTGCCCGGGTTGGCCGCGTGCAAGGCAAACGCCCTACCTACTGTGCTATCACTCCAGCTCAGGAAATTCCAAAAGTTACTATAATAAAATTACTATAACATACAATAAAAGTATAAACAAAATAGATAAGAAGCTTATTAGAACAAAAATTTCGAAAACAGTTTTTTAAAAATGTTTATTTCAGGTATAAGAAATGACTGATTTTTTTCTTTGTGATTAATACTTGACTAAACTTTACTAAAATATTTCTGTATACTCACACACAAAAATGAACATATACTGCTGGCATTCTAGTAATCAGTCTATAAATTATGCAATAAAGTTTTGCTAAAATATATGTTAATAAACTGAAATTTGTGGGAAAAATGGTTAAATCCAATATGTAATTATTACTTTGTATATAATCATACAAATTATGCATGATCTTAACTCAAAACAAACCATTAAAACGTTATGCTTTTAAGTGAAATATAACAATATATAAGATGGAATATGTAAGAAATATTGATTTCTAGTAGTAAAGAGACAACCTTTGCCACCCCCCCTTTTTTTGTAAATGTACTGCTTTCTTTTTTTTTTAATTCATTTATTTTTTTAATTTTTATTAGTGAAACACCATGAGGTACAGTTGTAGATTTACAAATTTTTGTGCTTGGGTTTCGATTATACAGTGATCAAATACCCATCCCTCCACCAGTGCCCATTTTCCACCACCATGGATCCCAGTATCCCTCCCACACCCATCCCTCCTGCATCCCACCCTGCCTCTGTGGCAGGGCATTCCCTTTTGTTCTCTCTCTCCTTTTGGGTGTTGTGGTCTGCAAGAGAGGCATTGAGTGGCAATCATGTTCAGTCCATAGTCTACTTTCAGCATGCATCTCCCATCCTGGGAGGATCCTCCCAACACCCTTTATTTGGTGCTCCCTTCTCTCTCTGGGCTGCCTTTTCCCCTAGCATGTGCAACTGACCTGCAAGCCATGGCGTGAACCTCTTAGTATTTATCTCGGTTATTCTTGGTTGTTAGTCTCCTGTTTTGTTAAATGTACTGCTTTCTATACTCCTTTTATTTAAAAAAATTTTTTTTATTGAGTCACTGTGAAATAGAGTTAAAGAGCTTCATGACTGAGTTTCAGTCATACAATATTTGAATACTTATCTCTCCACTAGTGTACATTTTCCATCATCCATGTCCCTGGTATCACTCCCACCACCTCCTTGTCTTACCTTTGGTGTGTCCATGTTTTGTGCTGTAGTTCACAGCATTAGGGACACCATCATTGTATATGAGATAGGCAGTGCTGTTTTTCTGTGGGACACATTTGAGTTAAAGGGTATTAATTTTCCACTCACAATGTCTGTACAATTAAATAGCCTGCAAAACAGAATTTTCATATGAGAAGTCATTCATTCCCCATCAATCTGAAATTTGTGACATGCCAGATAAGGAATAGGAAGTCCATTCTCAGCCATGACTGACTAGTTTTGTGTGACAGGAGCCCTGCGCTTTTCTTTTTCCTTTTTTCTTTCTTTTCTTTTTCTTTTTGGGCCACATCTGGTGATGCACGGAAGTTACTCCTGGCTTTACATTCAGGAATTACTCCTGGAGGTGCTCAGGGGACCATACGGGATGCTGGGAATTGAACTGGGGTCGTCCCCTGTATTATCGCTCCAGCCCCAACCCTGTGCATTTCTAATATGAGAGTGAGAATGACAATCTTATTTATCTAGGTTGTTTTGAACTTACGTTTTTAGTTTGGCAACCAGCATATAATAAAAGGATAAAAAATATTTGTTCAGAAAATGAACTAGGAATAATCAGCCTTGGTTTCTTTTTTTTTCTTTTTACCATTGAGATTATAGTCAAGATACATAATGGACCAACAGGATCTGATATCCAATATCCTCTCCTTACTTTATGTTTAGTCAGAACTCTGTGTTCAATCAGGATTGTTAGTTCTCTGTTCCCCTTCACAGGGGAAGGTTTTTTGTTTTGTTTTGTTTTTTTATTGTCACCTCACCTTTCTAACTTGATATTTCACTTTTTATAAAAAAAATAGTGGTGAAATTAAATATGTGACATTGGATCTCCCCCTCAAATAAAAATAGTGTGTCTCCAAACAGTTGAACAAATCTCTAACTCAAAATGACACCAATAGGGGCCAGAGCATTAGTACAGTGGGTAGGGCATTTGCCTTGACACAATTAACCTGGGTTTCATCCCCTGGCACTCCATATTGTTCCCAAATGCCAACCAGGAGTGATCCGTGAGCACAGAGCTAGTAGTAAGCCCTGAGCACCTCCAGGTATGGTTCAAAAAGCAAACAATGAAAAAACAAAAGAGGTCAATATTATAGTAATTTTCTAATATCTAGGTACTGTTGTGGGCCTCATTGACACAGTGAACCAAACAATTCCCTATCATCATAAAGCTGATATTCTGAGTGAGGATATTTATCAAGTCAGATTATCAAAGGTGTGGTGGAGGAAAATAAAGCAGGACAAGGGAATGAAGGACTGCTGTGGGCGGTCAGGGTAGAGATGCCAAGAAGGCATAAGAGTAGCGGAGTAAGACCTGGAGGCGAAAGAAGGGACCATATGTGGAGGTTGGAAAATGTTGTTCCGGGCAGAGGGGACAATAGATATGAAGGTGCTGAGGCAAGAGTTGGCTTGACCTGGCCAAGAAATGTTTGGTTGTAAGGTACCAGAAGGTGGACAGTAACATAGACCTTATAAGAAATCTGGTATCCAAATTTTATTTCCAACAACCACCATGGAAGGTGAGATGAAGTTATTATTTTGATAATTGCTTCGTATTTGGGAAAATTTGTTTATATTTGTTCTGTGTGGTTCCATTTCATTTGTGTCTAGTTTCATTTTAGTGAAAGTATCTTTTATTGAAGTAAATAATGTTGATATTAAAAAGTTCAGGAACATAATTTGAATCAGGAAAGGGCAACCCATTAAAATTCAACCCTTAACAAACATCATTAGTTTTCTTTTTGAAAAAGATCATTAACAGCATCTTTTGTAGTAGCTTGATTATTTGATACAATTCAAAACATTAAACAATCCTTACAACATAGTCTGCTTAACATTCTTGGCTACTGTGCTACATAAAAGAAAGAAAATTGTTTTCGTACTCTCATTTTCCATATTTGACCATTCATCTCCTTCTGTAGAAAATGAAGAGCTCTTCTATGAATCTATGTTGAAAGTGTAAGGCTGCTAATGTGTACCTTTCACAGTGTGGAGAGGATCTGGGAATACTTAGTATGGAACTTCATACTTATATAAAATTTATTTTTCTATTCAGGAGTGTAACATTAACTAAAATTAAATAGACTATAGTCCTAGTGAAAAAAGGCTCTCTGATAAAAGGGAAAGATTGTGAACTTAGGGAAATTCAGAACTTTGACTATGTCTCTAGAGACCTTTAACACCTATGTCAGATATTTTACTATTAATATTGACCAGGAAGTGTTTCTACCCACACCTAGCAGAGAAGGTAGACAGGAAAGAACAGAGAGAAAATTTCAATATAATCCAAAAATGAGGTTACTAAGCCTTGTGGAAGATTCTTATTTGCAAGGGAAAAGGGGAGATGATTTGCAGAGTAAGCCAAGCATTAGCCTATGTTGCCTTGACAATTGAGATTTAAAGCTATTTGGTGTGATGCTCCATTCTAGTCTCAGTTTCTGTTTAGGAGGTGGAGGTGGGTAAGTTCTCATGGAGGCTTCTGGAAACTACTTCCAACTTCCAAAGAATATTTCATCTCACCTGGATATCACCCTCTACTGGTGCTGTTCTTCTTTTGGTTCCGTGCCAATCAGGCATGGACTTAAGCCCTGTACAATGATTTTCTTTGCAGGATCCATAGCAAAAGAATGTGAGAAGATTTTATCGACAGTGTGAAACATTGAACAATTTTACCGCATCATGCTGAACTACTCTCTACCTCCCTTCATGGGGTTTATATTTTTTAATTCCTAGCTCCCACTGACCCCTGTTTTATTTGGCAGAGCAGTTCATGTCCCCTGCCCTTCCCTCACCCCCCTCCATCCCACTCTCTCTCCCAAGTCTTTGGGACAAGTAAAGATCATTATTATATTTTGATAAACTCAACCATCTACTCTATCTATGGTAAAGAAGTGAAATTTTTTTTATTATTATTAGTGAAACACCATGAGGTATAGTTGTAGATTTACAATTTTTTGTGCTTGGGTTTCTATTATACAATGATCAAATACCCATCCCTCCACCACTGCTCATTTTCCACCACCATGGATAATATCCCTCCCACCCCCATCCCTCCCATCCCACCCTGCCTCTGTGGCAGGGCAATCCCTAGTGTTCTCTCTCAAAGGAGTGAAATTTTACAATGTGCTCTCCCCTCTTCCCTGGCCCTGAAGTCTCTCTGCTCCCAAAAGGGAACAAAGCTCATGTTTGTTTCACTGAGAATTTAATGCTCCTTGTCACCCACCCCCACTTTCCTGCCTGGGAAAGCAGAAGCAGCTGCAGGCAGTTTTGATTTTACATAATAATCTATTTATCCAAAACAAGATTGTTGCTGACATTAAATAAGTTTTTGAAAGCACCCAGAACATTTCTTGGCACATCAGGCTATACCCAATAAGTTTTGATTTTGTTGCTGAGTTCTGAAGACTGATCTTAGTGGCAGTTGAAAGTGAATATTAGTATGCACATTGGTTGTTTCCTGTTCATTCTGTGTAAATACATAGGCAGACACATGGAATCATGATAGAACCTAACATAATATTTTTATTGTGGGGGTTTAATTAGTTGACATATGGAAAGGCCCATCACATTTTAAATGTTGAGTTGTTTTATGCATTTTCTTTTCTACAACTTATTGAAAAGATTGCATACATGAATGCAGTTTGATGTTTACTGTTGTTGTATTTGCCTTGTCACATCGGGTTGGAAAGCAGTATCTTGTCACTAAACAGAAGTTGGTGCTTTAAGTATTAGAAATTTGCACTGAGCCAGTGAGTCTAATACCGACTTATTTGGGTTGATGGGCTGGAGCAATAGTACAGCGGGTAGGGCATTTGCCTTGCACGCAGCCAACATGGCTGACCCGAGTTCGATTCCTCCGCCCCTCTCGGAGAGCCCGGCAAGCTACTGAGAGTACCTCGCCCACACGGCAAAGCCTGGCAAGCCACCTGTGACATATTCGATATGCCAAACACAGTAACAACAAGTCTCACGATGGAGACGTTATTGGGCCCGCTCGAGAAAATCGATGAACAATGGGAGGACCGTGACCATGTGACCGTGACCATTTGGGTTGATTAGGCTGATTAGCTCATTGCCTGATAAATTTATCTCATTGCCTGATAAAGTCTGCATGGACGGCTTAATTTTCACTCACACAATGGTCTTAAACTAAAGCTCTCACTCTAAACCTTCTTTGACAGGAAAATTATAAATAAAAGGATTGAGTAGGATCCTTTACTTGGGTCATACTATTCAGCACCACTATGCCATAAGAAATGTTTATTTCATGGTGTATTGATCACAGATCTATATTGTCTTATAACTGGAGAAGATTCCTCTCCCTGACTCTATTAGTGTGTCCCGAGAGAACAGACACAATTTGTCAACCAGAAGGTTTCAACATTCAATGAGCTCATACAGTCACTATGACATCACTGGACATTGTGCTGAATTTACCAATAACAGGATTATGATTGCTATAATGTCTTTAAGGAGTTGATCAGGTTGATTGGGTAGGTGTCCAGGGCTAGTTATGATCTAATTTTCCTGAAGTAATTAGGATTGGGGTGTTTGGTGAGTGAACAGGAAAATCTTTGAGTAAGTTTGGGTTCTGTTTCATGCATTTTATGTGATTAGAGTATATGGTGAACTATAACATACCTGGGAGGCATGTGCTTCATACAGCTGCTGTAAGGTCCTTCCCACAGCACTCTTGGTAGTATTTATTAGTTGTTTACTCCTCCTCCAGCTTCTAGTTGTAGAGTCTAGGTATAGGTATTCTAACCCAATGTCTTTACTTTTCTTATCTTGCCTTTTGGGTAACTTGTAAAAGGTAAACCTGATAAAAAAAATCACGATAAATTATTAATATTTATCCATTGCTATACATTATCTTTACTCTTTATCAGAAAAGGAAATACAAATTTGACTAGACATGTTCTAAAATACTGTCTAGCTTGAGTCTGATCCCTTTAGAATGTAGTCTTTGTTATTCTCAGAATCTACAGGGCTGCGGTGGGGTGTCAAGGCCTACTCCTGGGACTCGAGAGGGTTAGATATTTTTCACTTCTTTCCTAACTATTTGACATGTTCATCCTGTTTTTGCAGCTGGCTGACTGTGTCTGGCTTTTGAGATTGGGCTCCAGGACAGGTAGAGACTGCCTTTGAACATTCTTCAGCTTGGTTGATCAGAATGTTCTCCACTGAAGATTCAGAGCTGAGAGGAGACAATTTAGCAGTACTTTATGGTCATTACCTTTAGATATCTTACAGGAAAGAGGTGGTTAAGCCCACATAACATTCAGTCATTTGGGTGTTCATCTAAACCAGTGTATCTCAATGTGTTCTAGTCATATTTTGATCCATATGACTCTTTGTTGAGGGGCTTTCTTTGCATTGTGGAATCCCTGGTCTCTGCCTAGCTGCTGTTAGTATAGTAAATTCTCAATTAACATCATAGAGAAATTCTTGGAAATTTTAATTTGAAGTGAAATGATATATGAAGTTAATTTTACCATAAACTAATTAATAGGAGCAGGAAGTAAGTTATCCCAGTATATTTTTTGCACACAAAATTTCAACCAAACTTTTAAAAGAATTTGCAAACACTTTCTAGATGTCAACAATTAGATAATAATTTTTCTGAAGATATTACTTTGTACTTAACAACTTGTTCATTTTTTTAGCCCACTTATTTAAATTCAAGGACACAGCTGGTTGAGCCTTCTGGTAGCTCAGGGTACGAAGTGGTACCGAACCTAGGTAGCTGTCTCTTCCATCACAGACGAAGTCACCTCTACATTCTTTCACACACACATGCACACACATACTCACATAAACTCACATCCATTCTCACACACACACACTCACACAATAAACTCACATACATTCTCTCTCACACTCACACACACATTCAGAGTGGGGTAATGTAGACACAACAATGACCCTAATGTGCACATCTTTTGGATGAGGGAAGAAATTGTAAGTCTTGGAAAATAACTACTCAGATGTGAGGACAATTGCAGCTTCCACATGGATATAGTCCTAGCTATTAGTCCATTTTATTTTATAATCAATGTTATGATGCGATATTATTCAATATTTGCTCTATTCCTTAATCATGGCAATCTGAAATGTTGCCAAGCATTGTCAAAAGTCCCTGAAGAAGAAGGGGCCAGAGTGACAGCATAGGAAGCATTTGTCTTGCATGTGGCCAATCCAGGTTCAATCCCTGGCATCTCACAGGGTTCCCAGAGCACGACCAGGAGAAATTCTTGAGTGCAGAGCCAGAAGAAACCCCTGAGCACCTCTGAATGTGGCCCCCAAACAAACAAAATAACAAAAAAGTCCCTGGAGGCAAAATATTCCTTGTCTAGTCAAATACTCTCCAAAAGCATGAATCTACAAAACAGGTACCCAACAATGTTCCCTTATTATTACCATACTGTCTCATAGTGCTCGTCAGTTGGTTAAGAAAACCAACTGTGAGTGTGTGAGTGTGTGTGTGTGAGAATGGATGTGAGTTTATGTGAGTATGTGTGTGCATGTGTGTGTGAAAGAATGTAGAGGTGACTTCGTCTGTGATGGAAGAGACATCTACCTAGGTTCGGTACCACTTCGTACCCTGAGTGTATGCTGCTATTTACATAGCACTGTAGCACTGTCCTCCCGTTGTTCATCGATTTTCTCGAGTGGGCCCAGTAACGTCTCCATTGTGAGACTTGTTGATACTGTTTTTGGCATATCAAATATGTTACGGGGAGCTTTCCAGGCTTTGCCGTGTGGGCAGTATACTCTCAGTAGCTTGCCGGACTCTCCGAGAGGGGCAGAGGAATTGAACCTGGCTCGGTTGTGTGCAAGGCAGATGCCCAACCCTCTGTGCTATTGCTCCAGCCCAGTACTAAAATTAATTATTCGAAATTGACTTCTGAAATTCTAATTGACAGTACAGATAATATTTTTTTCTGGTGTAATGCAACTTCAATTCTCAATTCTTTAAAAAAATAAAAAACACCTCAGACAAGTGTAAAATTTCTGTCACTGTCACTATTCCCCCATTGTTCATCGATTAGCTCGAGCGGGCCCAGTACCGTCTCCATTATGGCACTTGTTACTGTGTTTGGCATATCGAATACGTCACGGGTAGCTTGCCAGGCTTTGCTGTGCGGGCAAGATACTCTTGGTAGCTTGCCGGGCTCTCTGAGAGAGGTGGAGGAATCAAACCTGGTTCAGCCAGGTCAGCCACGTGCAAGACAAATGCCCTACCCGCTGTGCTATCACTCCAACCCATGTGTAAAATTTATATCAGAAAAATAATTGGTAAAACAATTTTAATGCACTTAATCATACAACCAAATTTTCTGATATCCTCCTTTAAAAGGCAAAAAACTAGTACTTAAGATCAAATAATAAATATGCTAACAAAACTTTTAAGAAAATATTTGTTTTGTAACATATAGAATTTTTTACTCATATCTAATAAAATGTAATTTACACTGGTGTAAGCAATGACTATAAAAGATATCTAAAATAAAGCATGCCTTGCTGAAAGTAGACTATAGAGCGAACATGATTGCCACTCAATGCCTCTTTTGCAAACCACACTACCCAAAAGGAGAAAGAGAACAAATGGGAATGCCCTGCCACAGAGGCAGGGTGGGGTGAGAGGGATACTGGGATCAGTGGTGGTGGAGAATGGGCACTGGTGGAGGGATGGGTACTCGATCATTGTATAACTGAAACCCAAGCACAAAAATTTGTAAGTCTACAACTGTACCTCAAGGTGTTTCACTAATAAAAATTTAAAATATAAATAAATAAAATAAAGCATGCCTTGACAAACCCTAAAATTTACAAAAAAAACCACCAAATTTTGCTCTTTACATAAACCTTTTTATATTTATTTTTACATAATTTAGGTTCCATGTTTACAATAGTGTAAATATTGATGGTTTTGATGTACACAGTTACTGTACTTTCACTATCACCAAAGTGCTCATGATTTATCATCACTGTTTTTTAAAAATTTTATTTATTCTACCTGAGGTCACGTGTTTGCAATAGTACTTCCATTGATGGTTTTGACCTACACTACAGTTACCTACTTCATCCCTTACTCCTGTCAGCCCATGCTCTCTCCTACATGAATTCTTTGTTGCTCTCTTCAGGCTTTCTTACTCTCCGGGCCAGGTTTTAATAGGTGGGAGGAAACATAAACATATTCTCGGGTGCTGACATGAGGATATTCTGACCTCCATCCTTCACAGTACATTGTAGCATTCTGAGATTTGTCTCTTTCTGGTCAGCTCAGCTTTCTCTCTGACAGATCCTGCTGAATAATGTCGCCACAACCTATTTGCAGCAAAAATAAATTTTGTATCTTATAGCTTATATCTTGTCAGAATTTGTTTATACACCATCTGTGTGCCCAACAGATGAGTTTAAAGCCATAACTTTCCCTCATTTTTCCTGGGTGACTTTCTCCAATTACCTTCCAAAGTCTACTAAAGCTACCTATAGTTCAGACTTCTGTGCTGAAGTCAGATCAATCTAAAGACAGAGATCTTTCAGTGATTTCCAACTTCTTATTTTTGAAACTAAAGTTTAATACTTTGCTCCAAGTTCATGCATTCTTTGCTTTTGGGGAATATTTCCACAAAGGAAGGGAAACCAGAAACCAGATGGTCTTTATTTACCCTCAGCCTACCAATCTATTACCAAGACGTCTCAGAATCTTCCTATTTCCATTACCGCTTTATTTTTTTTGGGGGCGGATGAAGATGGGGCAGTGGCTATTTAAAACAGTTCTCAGTAGGCCCTGGATCACCACAGGTGATAGATACAAGACCACCAGGGTTCAATATAAGGGTCAGAGGGTATGATGTGCTTCAAGCCTTGTGGGTCCAGGGATACCTGGGCCATTCTGGCAGTGCTTCAACAGTGTTTAGAGACCTGCAGGGCTGCAGCTGGCTATGGTTGGGGGACCATGTGGTGCCAAGAATTGAACCCCATTAGCAAACAAGGCTCAACCTGTAACAGCATGTTAGTAAATCTCTTATACAAAGGCTTAATGGCTCCAGGCTTAGATATAACAATCTTCATACACTTTCTTCTAAAAAAACTTTGATCATGTTTAGCGGATTATTCATAACAAGCAATACAAAATAAATTATTCAGGGCCTGCTATTGGGGTAGGCATGGGTGGTGGTAGGGAAAATTAAAAATATTATTGGTGGGAAGGTTTAGTGGTGGTGGGATTGGTGTTGGAATATTGAATGTAAAAAATTATTGTGAACAAGTTTATAAAAATAAAATTAGCACTGTAGCACTGCACTGCCCTCCCATGGTTTATCGATTTGCTCTAGCGGGCACCAGTAATGTCTCCATTATGAGACTCGTTGTTACTGTTTTTGCCATATTGAATACACCATGGGGAGCTTTCCAGGCTCTGCCATGTGGGCAGGATACTCTTGGTAGCTTGCCGGACTCTCCAAGAAGGGCGGAGGAATCAAACCTGGGTCTGCCGCGTGCGAGGCAAATGTCCTACCCACTGTGCTATCACTCCAGCCCAAAAATAAAATTAAAATTAAAAAAAAAAGAACCACTGTGTTCTCTACCATTTCTTTAGATCGAGGCCAAACCCCTTCTTACCTGTAATGATACAAGCGTCCTATTGGTTTCAATGGTGCTAAACTGACTCCCAGACATTCAAAGTTCTCAATACTGAGAGTGGGATAATACAAAAATACATGAAGATTTGTTGAAGTCTTTTAGTAGCTCCCTTTCAAGGTCAAGTTTAGATTCTGCACCTTAGCCAGGAAGACCTTGGTGTCCTGGTCCTTACCTATCTCTAAGCTCACCTCCTGCCATCTCCTCACATGCTCCCCAAATACCAACAAATCTAAACAATATACAAAATTCCCACTCAGTTTACCTCTGAACCTCCAGGTGATTCCTTAACTGTCCAGAGAAGGCTGTGTATCTTCCTTGATTTTTGAACTAGATCATTATTATTCTTAAAACATAGTTTAAAACAGCTTCCTCAGAGAAGTCTTTGAATTCTATGTTCCCCAGTGCCCGATCTATGCTCCCATGGCAAATTAACAAATAGATTTTGTTCATCTTTCTGTTTCCATAACTCAAAACAAGGCCTGGTATAAACTAAGTAACTTTTGGCTGAATGACTAACGAAGTCACACTGTGTTCTCTAGTCTGAAGTTTACAGGAAGCTTGACATTAACCACTCCAGCAACCCAAAACATCCTAATTAAAGCGTGAAAAAGTGATCGAAGCTCGAAAAGAATCCAAGGCTATCATGCAATTCTCTTTAGCCTGTTTGACACTTTTCAAGAGGCCAGTGACCCATCACCCCCTCCAACAACTATCTTTCAGTTCTGTCTAATAAATGAAGTTAACCAAGCTGATCTATGTATGATCAAGCCCTTTCTCACACTTATAAAGGATAAGCAAAAGTCCAGTGTGAGAATGCAAATAATCCACCACTCTCCTTTGTCAGTATGTCCAGTTGAAGGACTGGCAATTGATAGGTTCTTTAGGAAAGTCTCCAGACAATTAAAAGAAGGTGAGAGAAGTCAACTATTTACCTCCTCCTGTGGCCACATCATTAAGCGCAGTGCCTCAGATCCAGGCTTAAGGCTTAAGGCTTTTTCAGGATGAGTGAGACTTTCCCCCTCACTCAGAGCCCCTCCCTCCTCAAATTGGACCCATTTATGAGCTTTAACAGAGGGGCAAGGGGGCTTGCAGTCCTTCTGGGAACATTATGGTGACCCTCTGTCCCTGATACCCTAGCTTTCTAGTTACACACAACAATCCTTACCCATCAGTTACCTACCAATCCACAGGGTCTCCGTCTTCATTTCGGCACGATATTTTTGTTGCTTCCAAAACTCCAAAGAAACCAAGGAAGAGCAAAATGAGGACTGTTCTTAGAAGTCTTGCTGACATTTTCTGTGTCCTCTATTCCATGTCCTAGTGAGAAGCTTTCTCTGTAGATGGGAGAGTCAGAGTTTTAGGTCTCTCTCAGGCCAGGCTGGCTCTCACATTTGATTCCACTTGCTTCTTTAGTTTGCTGTTCAGGCATTTCTAGAATGGAATTATTTCTGTGTCATTGTGCGATTCTGTCACAACATGCCAGTGTGACTCCGGGAGTGCTTATGCTGAATTGTTGACTGTTCTGCAGAGTCATCAAAAAGTTCTGGAGAGGAAAAAAAGGATATACAGTTAACTCTTTGGAGTGATCATTGTCTAGTATGAAGTTCAGTGTTATCTATGTTGATAAGCAAACACTTCCCAACTTATATATTAAATATATTTAATAGTCACTGTCACTACCCCCCGCCCCCCGCCCTTCATTGCCTCTCTGTGAACAAAAGCTGTCTGATTGTGCTTCACACATTAAACAGAAATAATAACAGAGTCCGGCAGCCAAAAACCTCCAGAACCCAATCGCCCCTGTGCTCAAAGCTGATCTCCACAGGTTTGGACGAGCCGCATCCTTGGATGAATCTATTGAAAAACTCAGGTATGCGGGTTTTGGTGACTGAAATCTTCAGGTACTCACAGAGTCAGGGATGAACCACCTTTCCCCTTTCCCTTTTCTTCCAGGAGCCTGGTGGTCACATGCATGAACTGCCTCTGGAGCTATATATAAGCTCCTTAACTGGCCATGATCCAGAGATTCACAAGTGAATCCTGAAAGAGATAAAAAAGCTGCAGGGATGCCTCAGACCCCAAAGACACCATCTAGTTAAAAATTTAAACTGTTTCATCTTATTTAAAATTTTAGAATTCGTAGAGTGGAAATTTTAGAATTCAGGAATCTCATACTCTATACCACTGATGTACCAGGAGTAGCACACTGTGGATAGGATGTAAGGCAGAAGGCAACCAATCTAAATAAAAAAATATTAACACACAAAGCACAACCTATAACTGCATGTTAGTAACCTCTTATACAAGGGCTCAATGTCTCCAGGGTGAGATGCAACAATCTTCAAACACTTTCTTTAAAAGAAATCTTTCTTGATCATTTTTAGAGAATTATTTATAACAAGCAATACAAAATAAATAATTTCAGGCCTGCTATTGGGGTAGGCATGGGTAATGGTTGGGAAAATTTAAAAGAATGGTGGTGAGTAAGGTATAAGGATGGTAAGGTTGGTGATGGAATATTGAGTGTAATAAATTATTGTGAGCAACCTTATAACATTTTTAAAATAAGAAATAAAATAAACATAAATAACAGAATCTTATATCTCAAGATTTAAAATTATAATAAAAAGAACTGATTACTTGTAAAATTTTTTATCTTAAGAAAAATCTCTCATTAGATAAAGGACCAAACATGATAACCTCTCAGTGTCTGTATTGCAAACCATAATGCCCCAAAGTAGAGAGAGATTATGGGGAATATTGTCTGCCATGGAGGGAAGGGGAGGGTGGAAAGGGAGGGGTTATACCGGAGATATTGGTGGCAGGGAATGTGCACTGGTGGGGGGATGGGTGTTTGATCATTGTGTGATTGTAACCCAAACATGAAAGCTTGTAACTATCTCACGGTGATTCAATAAATTTGGTTTTTTAAAAAATCTCTTTTATAGTGAGCACCAACTATAATATTAATTCTTTGAGGGCACAACACTATCTTGTACTCTGCTGTTTCCCGTGTACTATGCACCCTGTAGAAGTTCATTTTGTATTTGTAGGAAGAGTAAATAAATGGCAGCCTTTGGACACTTAAAAAAAAACTCTTAAAAGGTAACATCACAGGGTGATTCAAAGCAAGAGCAAATTCAGTTCTATTTTAGCAAAGTTGTTCACATGACTTCTCCACCTCCTAGTTTTAACCATTCAATGTGATGCTTTACTTCAGATGTTTTTACTTCAGGTCTTGGAGCCCTATTGGATGTCATGCAATCAGGTAAGCAAACAAGCTTCCTCTTCAGGTCAAATAAATAATGTCACAAACATCTATTTTGCCCTACTATTCATTCTCATCCTTAAACTGATTCTGAAGTTGAAGGTCAAGAGAAAATGTCCTATTACCAGAATGACTATAAAAAGGTGAGACCATTCTCTTTTTAGGGGGAAGGAAAGGATAAATAAACTTATGAAAAAATTTTCTTTAAGTGCATGATGGTATTGAGTCAATGATTAAATGTGTTATCATAATAAATCAAGGTTTACCTTTATGCCTGGAAAATATTATGACTTTGATCTGTCTCTGATCATGGATCTAGAATAGATCTTCATATAGGGATCTGGGCTCAATAGAAACTTTGCACTTTGGATGAATTCTATGACTAAGCTGGAGTTGTTCTGCATTCTCAGGATTCATAGGAAGGACTTGAGGCTCTATTTTTGCCTAACACACTTTTTGTGTGTGTGAGAGATATTCTGGACCACTACTCATATTTTACCATTTTCCGGAATTAAGGGCAGAGTTTGGAACTCAACTCATCTCTGATAAATCAGAATCATTCCAGGAGGACTCTAGAAACTGCATTTTTAACAGGTTTATTTGGTAATTCTGGTGCTCCCTAAACTTGCAGACTTGCTGCTCTGTTGCCAAGGCTATTCTGTGTCTGGTAGATTTATAGTCGACTGAAGTGGTAAACCACCAATAATTTTCTGGCCATTCTTCTATGAGTAAAATTATATTTAGGTACATTCATATACTTATTCAGAAAAAGAAATTTAACAACCTCAAACTTTTGATCAGTATTTTCTAATGTTAATACACCAATTACTTTTTTTACTTAAAGTGAAATAAAATTAATTTTATTTACCTTATGACATCTTCCCATAATACAATGGTAACTCAAGCTTAGGGCTCATTGATGAACTAAAAGAATGTTATGTAGACTAATATATGTGTTAAATAGGACATAAAAAATGTTTGTTTTCTCCTTACTACATGGTTAGCATAATGCCTGAAAAATAGTAATTGATTCATAAATGTTAGCTAAGGTTATTTTGATTACACTCTTATCTCTTTCAGTGGTTGACTGGGACATACTATATTAGGATGGTGTTTGCTGAATGAAATTTTATTCAAGGTCTAAAAAATAAAAGCATTACTTTCTTTCCAATATTCCTTTCAATACACAGTCTGATCTTTATTGCTTATCACCTGACCTGTTTACTGACTCAGTCTGATATCTAACAACTCTCCTTGAGCAATCACTAAATATTTGTACCCACATTGAACTTTGAAGGACTTCAGGGATTTCAACATTGCCTTAACCCTGGGTTTTGGTGCTTTCCAGTTTTAACTAAAAAAACAAATGTTGTGGAAAGAAACAGTGAATTTGGTAAATAAGGAAAATGCGAACCAGTCAGAATGTCAATATTATCCACTTTTAAAACTAAACAATGTGTATTATGAAAATACCATATCCCTTCACAACATATTACCTCTAAAAATAGTAGAATGTCCTTCATTGTAACTTGACCAAATACAGTGAACAAGGGAATAATTATTCATATGGTAGTGGGTTTCTTATTTTATCTCTAATGGTTGCATTAATTAATTCATTAAATAATTCTGGAAAATCTCAAAATTAATTTTTTTCTCCAAATTGCCCTCATCTGTTTAACTGCCAAATTGTAATACTTTTAGTTGCAGTATAATTGAAATGTAACATTATGTTAATTTTAAGTATAATGATTTGATATTTGAATAACTCTTATGTTGAGAAATTTTTAAATTTCCATTCTTAGAATCTTTCAAAATAAAATATTATTAACTCTAATGTTTATGCTTCATGTTATATCACCAAGGTTTATAATAAAATTTCTACTTCTGAACTCTTTTGCCCATTACACCCGCCCCTTACTCAATGCCTCTGGCAATCACCAGTCTGCTTTCTATAGCTGTGAGCTCAGTTTTGTTTTGTTTTCCTTAGATTCCATGTACAAGTGAGTATGTACAACATACACCATGCTTTCCCCTGTTCAATTTCATTTACTATCATGCTCTCAAGGTAACTCCATCTTAGCCCAAAATGCAGGATTCCCTTCTATTATAGCTAAGTGATATGCACATATATGCCGTCTTTCTTCCCTGCCTGCTGTACTATTGCTCTGGCCCCTGTCTTCCTTTCCTAAGAGTGACTCATTATTAGGACCTCATTATTGGGTCCTGTCAGTACTCAGTGATAATACTGTGTATATATGTGCATATATAAATAATATGTGATATATACATAAAGCCACACTGGAAAATTTTAGTTTTGATCTCTCTGAATTATGCCTCTTCCATGTTCCATTATATTTTTATGTGTATATATTTAGTGGGTTTTATGTCTCATTCACATATTCTATTTTTTGCATTTTTGCAGTAATCTTGGATTTATGTTTCATTGTCTCATTCTTTCTTGGAAATAGTAACCTATTATTTATCTCTTCCAAATAACTTATGTTTTCTTCTCTGTTTAAAGTTTATCAATCACAATGAACGTTTGAAAAGTTCTATTAGGATCTTTTCCAAATTTATTTGGTTTTTAATATATTGCTCATGATAGGAATAAATTATATCTCTTGAAGGTGATATACTCAATCTTATTTTTAATTTATATAAGACATTAAATATATAATTTTTTATTTTATAAATAATAGCTCCATTTGAAATCTTTGCTGGTTAGACTTTGCTATCAGTTGATTTAGGACTCATTTGTACTTTGGAATTTTTTTTTTGTACTTTGGAATTTTGACTATGAGTTCTTTTTCCGTTTTATGTTTTTGAAGTGGGGGAGGCTAAGCACACAAGTGGTGATCAGGACTTACTCCTAGCTCTGTGCTCAGGGTTCACTCTTAGTGATGAACACAATGTCAGGAAGTTCAATTGCCAGGGATTCAACTGGGGTCAGCTGCATATAAGACAGGTGTCTTACCCCTGTACTATCTTTTTGGCTCCAAGTTTATGTTCTTGAAGCATTATCTGTAATAGAATGTTTATATTGAGATAAAGTTGAGTTTCTTCATATCTGGTATATGATAGATTTATCAAAGTTCATGAGAACTCTCAAATCAGCCTTATTAATTTATTTTTAGTAGCCTTTTAAAGTGTATATATGTATATACATATATATATATGTAATGGAATGTATCTGCTTGAGTTTCACTTTATTTTTGTTCACAAGAGTTTGAAGTACTGAGATGAGAATAATGCTGCATATGACAGAGAAGGAAAAAATTGCATACTTGTTGGAGTGAAGGGAGAGACTTGGTTCATTTTGGTGAAAGAGATGAAACAAGCAAACTATTTAGCCTCATGTGTGTTACCTTCACCCTCTTCTTCTAAAGGTCTGGCTCATGGTCTGACTTTCATAGAGTATTACCAGGATTAAGTGAGATGCTGGATGTGGAGTCTCTGGCACATAACTAACTCACTGATTTTTTTCCCAACCTTGTTTTCTTCTATTTCAAGACACATTTATTTTGTTATCTTTTCAGATAGACTAAAAGCAATCTTTTGATGACATGATTCAAATGAATGCAAATAAGTCTTCATCACTAATGTTTTCAATGGTCTTTATCCAGATAAGATTAAAGTTTTATTCAGTTTCCTGTTGTTGAAGGCATAAAGCTGAATTGTTATCCTTCCCCAAAGGACAATCACTGTTCAGTTCTCTCTCTCTCCCTTATATCTTAAATACCCTTTGTCATAGACATAAAATATATTTAAACTTAGAATTCCCCTGTAGCACTGTCCTCCCATTTTTCATCGATTTGCTTGAGCGGGCACCAGTAATGTCTTCATTGTGAGACTTGTTACTTTTTTTTTTGTCAGATTGAATATGCTACGGGGAGCTTGCCAGGTTCTGCTGTTAGAGTGGAATACTCTTAGTAGCTTGCTGGGCTCTCCGAGAGGGATGGAGGAATCAAATCTGGGTCGGCCATGTGCAAGGCAAATGCCCTACCTGCTGTGCTACAGCTCCAGCCCAGAATTCCCCTGTACTGGAAAAAAGTCTAAAATTCTATATAAAAAAATGGGGGATAGTTAGGACAAAGAACATCTCTTGATGATGCATAAGTTCTAGTATTAGAGCTAAGTAGAATATAATTCCACTGTCTAACAGGACTTTGTCCACTATATCAACCTGATTGTCTGCTGTATAGCTTTGGACTACCACTTTACATCTCTGAGCTAATTTTATTATTTTTATTTCGTTTGTGGGCTATACCCAATGGTGCTGAGAGTTTACACCAGGCTTTGTACTCAGAGATCTATCCTAGTAGTGATTGGGGGAACCATATGTGGTGGGCTATGTGCAAGACAAACACTTTTACTCCGTACTATCTATCTAGCCCTATATTCTAATTTTTATTGAAGTAACGTTGCAATATAAAATTATAGAGATTTCAGATATGAATTATTAACAATGTGTGTGCTTCTGCAGTTTTAATTTATACCCCAAATTTACCCTTCTTGTTACTTTTAAAATAAGGTTTCTTTTGCTCAAATCACAGAGATTTTGTGAGGGGAGATTAAAATAATGTATGTCTCAATGAGGGCTGGAGCGATAGCTCAGCGGTAGGGCGGTCGCCTTACAAGCGGCCAACATGGCCGACCTGAGTTCGATTCCCCCGCCCCTCTCAGAGAGCCCGGCAAGCTACCGAGAGTATTTGATATGCCAGACACAGTAACAACAAAGTCTCCAATGGAGATGTTACTGGGCCCGCTCGAGCAAATCGACGATCAACGGGAGGGCCTTTACCTTTACCTTTATGTCTCAATGGAAAGAGGACTATTTATTAATTTTTAAGTTTTTTCAATTGATTGAAGTATTTTATTTATAATACTATTCATGATGGTTGTCTATGTACAATTTAGCACCACACTCATCATTAATGCACCTAACAATCCCAAAATCCTTTTCTTTCTTTTGCCTGGTCAAAAAACACTCATCTTTGTGAATCAGATCTCTCTGTGTATTGTCTTCAGGCTTTTGTTGCTACCTTGCTGTATATCTTTTAGTTACACATATAAGGGAGATCATTCTATATCTATTATTTTCCTTCACTCAGAATTGATGGGTATAAAATGTTTTAAATGTTGT